TATATATATATATATATATATATATATATATATATATATATATATATTATCTATGGACTTTATATTAAATAAAATTATCTAGTAAACTATATTTAATAAAATCATTTTAAAATATAAAATCTAATACAATAATATTCATGTATTATGAAATGTAATTTATTCCTGTGATGGCAAACCTGAATTTTCAGCAGTCATTATTCCAGTCTTCAGTGTCACATGATCCTTCAGAAATCATTCTAATATGCTGATATGATGCTCAAGAAACATTTCTTATTATCTATAACGAAAACAGTTAGTGATACATTTTAGGATTGATAGAATTAATATAAAAAAATAGCATTTTTAGAAATATAAATCTTTTGTAACATTATAAATGTCTTTACTGTCACTTTTGATCAATTTAATTCATTTTTGCTTAGTAAATATATTAACTTCTTTTAAAAAAATCGTACAGACCACAAATGTTTGAACGGTAACATATATGTCATCTGAGTTTGACATGGATAGTGCCATCAGTCACTCCAGATCTTTCTCTTTTTGTCTTCCTCAGGTCTTGATCTCTGAGGGTTTGGGGTTGTATGCCAAGGACCCAAAATTTGTAGCCTTTGCCAAGCGTGAGATTGCAGATGCCTGTCACATGACCATAGATGAGATGGAAAGTGCTGCAAGTGATCTCTTGAGTCGTGTGGGCCCTGGGGAGAGCCAAGGCTTCTCAGCCATATACAGTGATGAGGAGCCGATAAGGAGCCACGAGGAAGAGGAATTGGCTGATGAGATGACTTGTGTTACATCTTTTTGAATAACAGAAAAAGAGCCAATCAGGTCATCAGTAGGTGGAGCAACAGAATCCTGACTGAACAATCATGCTGTTCTGAGTCACAGAAAGACTCTGGTGAGAAAAAGGTTTTGCTCTGAAATATTGTTACCAGTTCATGCTCAATCTGTGAAAGAGACCAGCTCCAATTTACCCTGTCAACATGGCAGTTTTAAATTCTTTAAATTCAGATCTCTGAAAGGACTTGTTTTATAAACAGCTTATCATGTTGAACATGTTTTATATATGTAAATGTGTTTTTACTCCATCATTCATGTCTATGGTTGTCTATTTATTTTTAAACGTCATTTACAGATGGATTCTCCTACCTAAAATATATAAACAGTATTTTAAATTATTCAAATAAATAATTGGCTACACTTTACTTGAAGGGGTGTGCATAAGACTGGCATGACACCTTCATAATCATGACATGACACCTACATAATCATGACATGACACATGTCATGAATATGAAGGTTTTTTATGCATGTTTATGTCATTAAGGGTCATTCGCTCAGTTATGTAATTTTTAATGCAAAGATGACATTGTTTGAGATGTCTTTGTTATGGGCTATGGTTAGGGGTAAGGGTAGGGTTAGGTTAGGGTTAGGTCAAATAATGTCATATTTGCATTAAAAATGACATAACTGAGCGAATGACACATAATGACAGTTGTCATAAACATGCATAAAACCTCCTTCATATTCATGACGTGTCATGTCATGATTATGAAGGTGTCATGTCAGTCTTATGCACACCCCTTCAAGTAAAGGGTTACCAAATAATTTAAGAATTGTATTAATAAATAATTGAAATATTAACACTTATAATCATTGTACAGGTTTGTCTGGCATTTTCTGTAAACAGTATGTGTTTATTTTTTTCCATTTTTTCCACGATAGGCTCCACTCCTTGCTTAATCGTCTTTGAACATGGTTTCAGTCTTTAAGTGGTGTTTGCTCCAATTCCAGCTTAATAATTTTAAAATATAAACATGATATTGGAACAAAAAGCACACTGTTTAGAAGAAGCAAATTACTTGTGTTGGGTTGCACAGAGCCTGGCCGGAATTTCAAGGACACTTTTTTTAGGACAGTAAAATAAAAAAAAATTCTTTTTTTGGGAAAAGTTGTTTAATTTTGTATTTTGTTACTATTATTTAATTGGTGGTTTTCATTTTTTATTCCAGTTTTATACATGTGGTTGATCTTGACATATTGCTGATATGCCTAGCCACTTTAGTCTAGTCAGATTCCTTTTACTGATCGCAATACCCATAGGACAGCCACAGCAACAGTGATCTATTCAGAAGGAGAACACTGTGCCCTATCCATGGGTCTCATACAGTAAAAATGGAAATTGCTGAACATTTTCTAAAAATAAATGACCACTGATTGCAGCTGAGAACTTGTCTGTCATACCACATCTCGGTTATCCCAAGCGTTTGCTCCCTTCCCCAACAATTTTACTTCATTAGTGTAAATATGCAGAACATTATTAATATAACCACTTCACATGGAATATTCTAATAACTAAAGATTTATATGTGAGATTGAATGCGAGTTTTATGAAATTCTGAATGATGTTTGTAAACAAATATAAAGATGAAATGTTTCCACACTTTGCAATCTGTCATTTTTATAATATCTGGAGAATCATGGCCATCATGGCCATGTACTACATTATGCTGAAGGCCCAGTGGCCTAATGGAGAAGGCATCAGCCTCCAGAGCTGGGAATTGTGGGTTCAAGTCCCACCTGGGTCACTTTATACGTTATATGTTTTATTAGATGTGTGCCCAAATTGTTTGAGGAAAAATGTATGCTTAATATTAAGTGTTCTCTATCAAGGGAATGTAGAAAAGGTTGAAGACTGCCAGCCTGACCTACAGTTTACTTTTTTTGTTGTTAAATATAAGCTGTGCTGATGCATTGTATTGTTTACATCTGCACTGATTTGCAGGGGTGTGAAGTAACGAATTACAAATACTCACGTTACAGTAATTAAGTAGTTTTTATCAGTAATTGTACTTTTTTGAGTAGTTTAAAAATTGTGTACTTTTACTTTTACTTGAGTACATTTTAAGTGATGTATCGGTACTTTTACTCTACAATTTCCCTCCATTTGTGGTCGTTACATGCTTATTTTAATTTTATTTTTATCCATCAACGTGATTGGATAGAGAGTAATAGGTCTCGTGACTTTCATCAAATTAAATTGTGCTGAATAACTTTCATCTTTTCTTCAACTGAATACTGTTTCCATGCTGTTTTTGATGTTTTTTAAAGAGTTGGCAGTCAAAATTAAAACTGCTGGATGATAGATATTCTTCATTCTTTATGACAAATAAGATAATGTGACTTACAGAATGTACAACATTTTTAAAATCTATAAATTGAGGTGTACAGCATTTATTATGAGGGGGTAGAATCCACAGTTCATTACTCACTACTCAATACTCATGAGCACTTTTAAATAGGCTACTCTTTTACTCTTACTCGAGTAGTTTTTTGAGCAAGTACTTTTACTCTACTCACACTACATTTTTTTGGAAGGTAATGGTACTTTTACTTGAGTATATTTTTTCAGTACTCTTTCCACCACTGCTGATTTGAGACCAGACCACTTTGCAAGCCACTGGCTTCAATTGTAGTGGTGCATTGTGTGGGAGGACACTTTCTTTAGCCCTACTGGCCTTCGAGCTCAACTGTCCCACCCCTTCTTCCAGACATCTGGATCTATGAAAAATGTTCTGCATCATTACTTCATCAAAATTAAAGGGCCCATATGATGCAATTTCAAATTTTCCTTTCTCTTTGGAGTGTTACAAGCTCTTGGTGCATAAAGAAGATCTGTAAAGTTGCAAAGACTAAAGTCTCAAATCCAAAGATATATTCTTTATAAAAGTTAAGAGTCAACCACTCCTACCTAAAACGGCTCATTCTAACACGCCCCCACATGTCTATGTCATGATGTGGGAAGATTTGCATAACAACGCCCAAATGTTCACGCAAAGAAAGAAAGCGTAACTTTTATTCTCACTGTAGTATTGTTGTTGCTGCCATGTCGTGAAGGCGCTGTGTTTCGTTGTGAAAGCGAAACTACTTTGTTTGGCCTTCCAAAAGAGGACGATATCCGCTTCGTCATGCCTGGAGCTGATCCGTGCTGGTCGCTGAGGAAATACATTAACTTCGCGCTGTGGATCGCCAGATCGGCTTTCACCGTGGACGAAGCTGAGTCCAGCCCAGGGTCGTCACATGTGGTTGCCGCAAGCCCGCCGGCCGCCGCTCACTCCAGCCGCGCGCCGCTGCTCACTCTAGGCCTCCGGTCTCCGCTCACTCTAGCCCACCGTGTGTGACGCTGGGTTTTGTTGTGAAAGCGAAACTACTTTGTTTGGCCTTCTAAAAGAGGACACGACTAGAAATCAGTGGTTAAGTTGTATTTACAACA